GTGTGTAGTGTGTGGTGTGTGTGCGTGTGTGTGTGTGCGTGTCGTGTCGTGTGTGTGTGTGTGTGTGCGTGCGTGCGTGTATGTGTGTGTGTGTGTGCGTGCGTGCGTGCATGCATGCGTGCGTGCGTGCGTGCGTGCGTGTATGTGTGTCTTCAATTACATTATTTTCACGACGGCAATAATATATTCTTCCGTTCGCGGCTATTATTGTATTCCTTTAGTGTATACCCCATGTACGAAGATTGTGACAATATATAGACTTGTCACATGACGACTTCATGACGATGACATAAATATTGATGAAGCTTCTTACAACATGCTGCAGGTTTTGTGTGTGCATGGTTGTCACTTTAAACTAAGGGTAAAACCCAGAAATGGAGGAAAAGAGCACGCCAGTATCTATTCTTTATTTATTTTATATTTGTATTTTTTTTTTTGGCTGGTTAGATATGAGAGCTATTCGTGGAGAAGGGAGTCCAGAACCCGACGCTATACCAGCGCACGTTCCCTTCGTCTTGTCACGGAAGGTTAACTGTGAGTAGCGAGGGCCGTCGCTCGCACCGCTGCACCCGTAAACGAATACGAAATAAACATTAAAATTTAACGGATAACATTTCAATTAATGATTACACTCGGCGGTAGATGGCACCAGCTGTCGTCCTCACATGATGACGCTTAGGGCGGCTACGATTTTCTTGTCGACGCTTCCCGTCGTCTGCTTCTCCCGCTCCGCCTCCCGCCACAGCCTGCTCCGCTTCCTTACATCCTCATCACTGATATCGTAGATATCTACGTAAGCACCCTGTCTATCTACACGACTGACAGGATTCCCCGCTGCCATGGCAACGCCGCCGCCGCCGCCCCCGCCGCTGGCGTACGTGCGGGGAGGTTTGGGAGGAGCGAAGTCGGGGGGAGGGGAGCACGGGAAGTAGTGTTTATGCTGGGGAGAGAAGACAGGCTCGGCGTCGCTGTTCGTGGGCGTGTCAGCATCCTCTTCCTCTGCCTCCTCATCCTCATCCTCATCCGCTTCGTATTCTTCAGGATGAAGACCGAACCTAGGTACTGCAACAGTAATAAATAATAATAATAATAAAAATAATAATAATAATAATAATAATAATGATGATGATGATGATGATGATGATGATGATGATGACGATGATAATAATAATAATATGTAGAAAATGTGATCTCGCGGATTTTCGATGAATCTTCATGCATCGCATTCATTGAAATCAGTGGAGTTTATATCCCTCCGGCTTATGATTATTGTTTATGGCCAATGGCAATTTACCTCCGGAACTATCTATACGTGTAAGCGTAGATATAGCCGCTATCAAGAGTTGCCGCTATATATTATGTTAGCCGCTAACACGCGAACGTAGCCAGATTGTGTAGGCCTTCTTCCTTTTTCTTAAGTAAGGTCTACTGATGGAATGTTATCATATAAATATATGCTAAGATAACTCCTCTTCATTTCGAATGCATAATTATTGCATAATATTAATTTAACAGTTAGCGCATGCGCAACATCTCACCAGAGGAGTTAATAGTCACAAAGATGACTATTTATTTATGGTCATCTCAGCATAGATTTATGTAATAAATCGTTATCAGTAGACGGTTGACCTGTATTTACAATTAGGAGCCCGCCCTAGCCTGTAACGTGTAAAACACCTACTTCACCCCCGTCCTTCCCCTTGCCCCCCTTGTCCCTCGCTCAACCTCCTGCTTCTTTTACGGCCGCTCAACTATCATACCTAGCGCCTTTTCTCAGTCTTCCATCTTTCTCTCTCTCTCTCTCTCTCTCTCTCTCTCTCTCTCTCTCTCTCTCTCTCTCTCTCTCTCTCTCTCTCTCTCTCTCTCTCTCTCTATCAGCAAGCTATACTATGCAGTTTTCTTCAGTCATGACAGTATCTCAGCATAGATTTATTTAATAAATAATATATTAGATATTATCCTAGACAGCATCCCCAACATCCTTCTCTTCTCTCTGTTCTCCTCTCCGTTGCCGCCGCCAACAAGAAACAGCAAAACAAACAACAACAACAACAACAACGACGACGACGACGACGACGACGACGACGACGACGACGACGACGACAGGCACATCCCGCCCGCGGAATTTTTTTTCCTCCTTTTTTGAGTTCCGGACCCACCATAGATAGTGTTTTGTAATAAATGGTTCTTATATATATGGTTGGATTATAGTTAGTGTTAGGGTTCGTGTACGTGTTAGGGTGAGGGTGAGGGTGAGGGTGAGGGTTAGGGATAGGATGTATTCATTTTACATTGTTGCTTTGAGGAAGTCGAGTGAATGGAGTGCGCTGATTGGCTGTGGTCCGGAACTCAAGTGGGAAAAAAATTTTGCATCATGCCCCACCGTGCAGGCAGAACTATTGTAATAACAACTTTGCGAGTCAGGCAAGGAAGCCTTCTCTCTGTGCAAGGAAGGCACGACTCTCTGTGGCATAAAAGCCGAGCGAGGTACGGCACGCACAGGCGCAAAGACTCGTGCATATGGGAGGGGATGTGTAAAAATTCAAACGTTTAATTGATCGATTGAACGTTTGAATGATTAAATTGTCTGTTCAATTAAACAATCAATCGATCAATTGAACAATCAATCGATCAATTGAACGTTTGAATGACTAAATTGACTGTGTTTAATTAAACAATCAATCGATCAATTGAACGTTTGAATTTTGACACATCCCCTCCCATACGTGCACAGTCCCAGAGTCAGGATGCCGGTGTTGCCACGAGGGCAATGGATTTGTCCAAGATCGTGCAGCCGAGCTCCTAATGTGCACGCTCGCACGCACGCACACGTATGTGCGCGCACGCACGCGTGTACGTGCGCGCACGCGTGTACGTGCATACCAAACTGCATGCAGTGCCCCTTCCCACACTCAGGATAATAATCAGGTAGAATTGAGCCAGAGCGAGAGCGCCATCTGTCGTGGAGTTTGCGTGCATACATGCGTATATGTGCGCGCATGCGTGTACGTGCACACATGCTTGTACGTGCGCGCACGCGTGTATGTGCGCGAACGCACGCGTGTGCGCGCATGCGTGTATACGCACGCGTGTACGTGCGCGAACAAGTGTATGTGCACGCGTGTACGTGCGCGCACGCGTGTATACGCGTATACATGCACGCGTGCGGTCATGTGCATCTGTGTACGTCAGATACGTACCCTCAAGTACACCTGCTGTACACGCGGAAGGTACACGCGCACATGAGGAGGAGGTCGGCATCACGAGCATGGACAAATCCAATAGGAAACCCCTCCAGTAATCCACTGCCCTCGTGGCATCCCAACTATGTGTCTGTGCACGAGTCTTTGCGCCTGTGCGTGCGGTACCTCGCGAATTTATACATGCAATAATGCCTATATCCATCGCCCCACGCGTACGCTCGCGGTCGACGCTGACCGCTCGATCGAGTTAGCCAACTCGCAGTCGTCAGTGTAAACGCGCTGCACAGTTCATAGAACGGTTGATAGCGCGTTGGGAAGTTGGTGAAATTCGCCAATTCGCCAATACAAAGTTGGCAGTGTAAACCCAGCAGCTTAACTCACGGCAGGACGTGACGGAGTCGTACTCCGTTCTCACTAGATGCTCCGGCTCACTCTGCATCCTCGCTCGCTGCCGCGGCCGCCTCGGCCACGTCTCATACGTCATCGTGACGTCATCGACATAGTCGGCCGCGTACAGGTCGACGCGGTCGCGGTTCTGCGCTATGACGTCATCGCTGACGTCATCGGCGGGCGCGTGGTGGCTGTAGGTGTGGCAGCGTGTACTGCGGGAGCGTGGGTGAAGGGTCAGCAGGTGTATGCCAGCCTGGATCTGTAGGAACCGCCGCAGTAGCTGCCTATCCTGCGTCTGCATCAAGCGCTGAAACACGTGATCGTTACGTCACCGCTGAAGTCATCTATACATACGCTACTGACAAGTATAAATATACTGTATTGCTAATCATAAATATACTCTAGTGCTAAACATAAATCTACTCTATGCTAACATCAATCTGCTATGCTTAAACATAAATCATACTGTAGTGCTAAAACATAAATATACTCTGCTGCTAAACATAAAATATTCTCTAGTGCTAAGCATAATATTACTCTAGTGCTACAACATAAATATACTCTTAGTGGCTAAACATAAATATACTCGCTGCGCTAAATCATAAATATTACTGTAGTGCTTAAGCATAAAGTATACTCTAGTGCTAAACATAATATACTCTAGTGCCATAAACAAGGTAAATAACTTCTACGTGCAAACTAATTTACTGTTAGTTGTAACATAAATATACTGTAGTGCTAAAACGATAATATAGCTATTTAGTGCTAAACATAAATATACTGTAGTGCTAAACATAAATATACTGTAGTGCTAAGCATAAAATATACTCTAGTGCTAAACATAAATATACTCTAGTGCTAAACATAAATATACTCTAGTGCTAAACATAAATATACTGTAGTGCTAAACATAAATATACTGTAGTGCTAACATAAATAGTAGGACATTATCTCTAGTGCTTAAACCATAAATATGCTCATGGGCTCTAAAATGCCTGATGGAGTATTGCTACCTGGATCGTAAAAAAATAATCGTCTGGTAAATAATCTTAATAAGTAAAGGGGGGGACTAAGTAGTAGGTAAGTAAGTAAGTAAGTAAGTAAGTAAGTAAGTAAGTAGTAAGTAAGTAAGTAAGTAAGTAAGTCAAGTAAGTAAGTAAGTAAGTAAGTAGTAAGCTAAGTAAGTATGTAAGTAGGTAAGTAAGTAAGTTAAGTAGTAAGTAAGTAAGTAAAGTAAGTAAGTAAGTATGTAAGATAAGTAAGCTAAGTAAGTGGATAAAGTAAGTTAATAAGTAAGTAAGTAAGTAATGTAAGTTAGTAAGTAAACGTAAGTAAGTAAGTAAGTAAGTTAGCTAAGTAAGTAAGTAAGTAAGTAAGTAAGTATGTAGTAAGTAATAATGTAAGTAAGCTAAGTAGTTAGTAAGTAAGTAAGTAAGTAGAGTAAGTAAGTAAGTAAGGTTGAGTAGAAGTAAGTAAGTAAGTAATGTAAGTAAGTAAAGTAAGTAGTAAGTAAGTAAGTATGTAAAGTAAAGTATAAGTAAGTAAGTAAGTTAAGAAGTAAGTTAAGTAAGTAAGTAAGTAAGTAAGAGTAATGTTAGTAAGTAAGTAAGTAGTTATGTAAGTAAGTAAGTAGTTAGTAAGCTAAGTAAAGTAAGTAAGTAAGTATGTAAGTAGTAGCTAAGGTAAGTAGAGAAGTTAGTTAAGTAAGTATGTAAGTTTAGTAAGTAGAGTAAGTAAATGTAATAGTAAGTAAGTAGAGTAAGTAAGTTAAGTAAGTAAGTAAGTAAGTAATAAGTATGTAAGTAAGTAAGTAAGTAAGTAGTTTAGTAAGTAAGTTAAGTAAGCTATAAGTAAGGTACGTAGTTAAGTAATAAGTAAGTTAGTAGTAAGGTAAGTAAGTAAGTAAGTTAAGTAAGTAAGTAATCAGTAATGTAGTAAGTAAGTAAATAAGTAGTAAGTAAGTAAGTTAAGTAAGTTAGTAAGTAAGCTAAGTAAGTATTAAGTAAGTAGTAACGTAAGTAAGTAAGTAAGTAAGTAAGTAAGTAAGTAAGTAAGTAGTAATAAGTAAGTAAGTAAGTATATAGTTATAAGTAAAGTAAGGTAAGTATGTGTAAAGTAAGTATAGTAAGTAAGTAAGTAAGTAAGTAAGGAGAAGTAAGTAAGTAAGTAAGTAAGTAAGTAAGGTAAGTAAGTAAGTAAAGTAAGTAAGTAAGTAAGTAGTATGTAATGATAAGTAAGTAGTAAGTAAGTAAGTAAGAATAAGTAAGTAGTAAGTAAGTAAAGTAGTAGAGTAAGTAGAGTTAGTAAGTAGTAAGTAAGATGTAAGTAAGTAAGTACAGTTAGTAAGTAAGTAAGTCTAAGTAAGTAAGTAGTAAAGTAAGTAAGTAAGTAAGACTAAGTAGTTACAGTGAAGTCATAAGTAAGTAAAGTAAGTAAGTTAGTAAGTAAGTAAGTAGTAAGTAAGTAAAGTAATAAGTAAAGATAGTAGTAAGTAGTAGTAAGTAAAGTAGTAAGTAGTAAGTAAGTAAGTGAGTATAAGTATAAGTATCGTAAGTAAGTAAGTAATAAGTAGTAAGTAAGAGTAGAGTAAGCTAAGTTAAGTTAGTAAGTAAATAAAGTAAAGTAGGTAAGCTAAAAAGTAAGTAAGTAAGTAAGTAAGTAAGTAAGTTAAGTAGAAGTTAGTAAGTTAAGTAAGTAAGTAAGTAATAAGTAAGTAAGTAAGTAAGTAGTAAGTAAGTAAGTAAGTAAGTATAAGTAAGTACAGTAAGGTAAGTAAGTAAGGAAGTAAGTAAGTTAAGTAAAGTAAGTAAGTAAGTACAGTAACTAAGTAAGCTTAAGTAGAAGTAAGTCAAGTATGTAATAAGGTGAGTAAAGTAACAGTAAGTAAGTAAGCAGTAAGTAAGGTAAGTAAGTAAGTAGGTAAGTTAGTAAGCTAAGTAAGTAATAGTAGGTAAGTAGTAAGTGTAAGAAGTAAGGACGGTAATAAGTAAGTAAATAAGTCAGTATGTAACGTAAGAAGTAACGTAAGTAAGTAGCGTAAGTAAGTAAGTAAGTAATGTAAGTAAGTATTTAAATAAAAGACTTAGTAAAGTAAGTAAGTAGCGTAAGTAAGTAAGTAACGTAAAAAAGTTAGTAACGTACAGTAAGTAAGTAAGTAAAGTAAGTTAATAGTAAGTAAGTAAGTAAGTTAAGTAAGTAGGTAAGTTAGAAGTAAGTAAGTAAGGTAGGTAAGTAAGTAAATAAGTAAGAAGTATGTAAGTAAGTTAAGTAAGTAAGTAGGTAAGGAAGTAACGTAACTAGTTAGTAATAAGCTAAGTTAAGTAAGTAAGTACAGTAATGTTAGTAAGTAAGTAAGTTAATAAGTAAGTTAGTATGAAGTAGTAGAGTAAGTAAGTAAGTAAGTAAGTATCTGTAAGTAAGTAAGTAAGTAAGGAGTAAAGTAAGTATGTAAGTTAAGTAAGTAATTAAGTTAGTAAGTAAGTAAGTAAGTAAGTAAGTTAGTAATCAAGTTAAGTAAGTAGGTAAGTAAGGTAAGTTAAGTAAGTAAGTAAGTAAGTAAGTATAGTAAGTTAGTAGTTAGTAAGTAAGTAAGTAAGTAAGTAAGTAAGTATGTAGTACAGTAAGTAATAAGTAAGTACCGGTAACTGTAAGTACAGTAAGTAAGTAAGTTAGTAAGAAGTAAACAGTAAGTAAGTAAGTAAGTTAGTAAGTAACGTAGAGTAAGTGAGTAAGTAAGTAAGTAAGTAAGTAAGTAAGTATAGTTACCAGCTAAGTACCATAACCGCGTAAGTAAGTAAGCAAGTCACCCTAAGGTAAGTCAAGCTAAGTTAAGTAAGTAAGTACAGTAAGGTTAAGTAATCTAAGTAAAGTACAGATAAGTACGCCGTAAGTTAGCTAAGTAGTAATGTAGTAGTAAGTATAGTAAGTAGTAAGTAAGTAAGTAAGTAAGTAAGTAGAAGTAATAAGTAAGTAGGTAAAGTAAGAAGTAAGTAAGAGTACATAAGTGCAGTAAGTAAGTAGTAAGAAGTAAGTAAGTTAGTAAGTTAGTAAGTAACTACAGTAAGCTAAGTTATAGTAAGTAGTAAGTAAATTTAATAAAGAGTAAGTCAAGTAAGTAAGTAATAAGTTCAGTAAGCTAAGCCTAATAAGTATGTAAGTAAGTAAGTAAGTAAGTAAGTAAGTAAGTTAGTAAGTAAGTAAGTAAGTAAGTAAGTAAGTAAGTAAGTAAGTAAGTAAGTAAGTAAGTAAGTAAGTATATGGATACTCCGCACGTGTTCTACTTATCATACTATAGTTGTGCTATGTGAATATATTTGCTTTACAAAGAGTACCTAAAAGTTCGGTTATATGTTTGCGGTTATATTGCTGTGATTGCGTAGGCGGCCCATGACAAACATTTTATAGTTAGTACACTGACCGTGTTACGGGTGTGCAAAAAACAAGAGCAAATACGAGAGATTTTGATTAAGTGCGCGTCACTATATCAACATAAGCTAATCTAATTTAAAGTAGGGCGAGTTTATACAGTAAACACTGCGCCCCTATCCGCCGAATTCCATTCCAAACAATATGAGATATCTATCATTCACGTTTCATTACTTCCTGTACATAATTCACCAGTAATGGAAGCATATTCACGAGCGTAGCTTGTACAGTGCTCAATTTGCTTAGGAGGCAAAGCTACGTGCGGTTTGTATTCTGGGCAGTTGACTCTGGGAATTTAGCCATTGACCATGTAGTAGTATATGTATATTCGTCTGGGGGCAACTGCCCGCTGCCCCCACCCGCTAGCTAAGGTCATAGTATTGCGTGACCGGGCGGCCACGAACACCAAGTTTATTCTGAAGGTAGGTGGACGGTTATTTTCGCGACACGGGATTATCCGGGAACTGGGAAATACCTGATGAATCTTTCGTGATTCGGGAATAGAAATCAACCGGGCTAACGCGGGAAAGCCCTGCATCGCGATGTTATTCACCTGGTAACTGGATAATGACATGTGTTTTATCTGGGACACTGGGAATAGATTCCCCTTCCCCCTTCTATTCCAGTGTGAAAGGATAAATATTGACAATCGTCTGGAGCGCATATCTTTGAGCAGGACTTTGAGACATTCTTGCTGCAGATAACGCCACGATTAGCTGGGTGAAGCGTGTGCACGGAGGAATGTACACGACGTTGCCTGCAGCCGGTATATCTATCCATCTACAAGACTGACCCGAATTCCGCAGAAGCAAAGGTCATTAAATTGACTACGTCACGAATTTTCTATGGTAAAATTTGTAAAAAAAAAAATTGCACATTGTCATGATTAGGCCACGCCCCCTTTTCAAATCGTTGATTCTACAAGATTTACTATTGTTTCAAGGGTTACAAAAACACACTTTTTTGATAAAATACCTAAACGTAAGTATTAAAGTGACTACGTCACGAATTTTCGATGGTAAAATTTGTAAAATGTTTGTTCCCATTTTTTACATTTAAAGTAAGAACTAACGGGACTAAACG